AAAAAAAAAAAAAAAAACGAGAGTATTAATATTATAAATGTAGTGTAATGAAAGAGGAGATGATTTAGATTTTGAATGTTTGAAGATATGAGTAAATTAATATTGCGATAATGTTGAAACATGTGAATATTCGAATAGTAGGAATGTTCGTGGTGTTATGTATTGTACAAGGCAATGAATATTTATGGCAAAAATGAGGAAGCGAAAGGTATCCAATAGATTTATTTAACGAATTAATTAATTGTAAGATTACAATTATTGAAATTATAAAAATACACAGATTGAAATTATAAAAATTCGTTTGTAATGTTTTAAATTCTATTTGTATTTGCATGATTATCGGGAACGACATTGCTGAAATACTCTAGCAAACTTCAGCGACATGCTCCAATTGCGAAAGTGAAAATACATTTTTGAACATACACTTGCAAAAGAATTTTCCGAAAGAATCTTACAATACAAGACAGATTTACGAAATATTTTGAATGGCACTTTATAGTATTACAACTGTTTAGATTACTTTGCAAATGAAATATTCATGAGTTTAATAAAAACTACAACGATATGTTAGTAATTGTTGCCAATTTTAAATTATACTATAATTTAAAGATGTATTGTGTATTAAATTAATATAAATTATACTTATCACAATCGCCAAAGAGTAAATTATCTTTTGAATTTGTTATTTTGTCAAAGGAAATTATACTTTACTTTGAATGTATATTCGTATGCTTTTACACGTACAAAATCAATACATGTATCATATCGTACTCTGTAATATAGAAAGTCCAAATGTGAAAGTTTTAAATGACAATTTAGTACAGATGGGAACGTCATTGTCGATACATGATTAAAAAACAAATATCGTTGAAACGTCTCAATCCGTGCCACTCAAAACCAACTATCTATATTTATATCAAAATTTATTAATAAATAATTCTACGTCAAACGATCTTTAAAACGTGTATTTAAAAATGAATTTTCAACTTTTCACGTACGATCTATCAGAAAATCCATCAGTGACAGTTGATCGATGATGTTATTCACCTCCGTTAGATGCGTTCGACCAGAAGAAATCAATATCCCGGTATAAATTATAGCTGATCAGAGAACACGTTGTCGTACCTGCTGAGAGCTTCGGTTTCAGCCAGCCTGATACCAAATTTAATAGCCTCCACCATGGCTGCAACGTCGTCAGGATGGCTCAGATATTTTGGGTAAATCAGCGGCTTCGACAGAGGATCGTTGTTTCGTAGGCGAAGATAACCGCGACTCTTCGGATGCAGATACGTGGGAATAATGTAAATAGTGCGATTTGCACCCTTCGTTTCACCAACCATGCCTGTTTCCGCACAATCCGCTAAATAACCACCGAAGATCAATTGAACATCCGGATGGTCGACTTTTGGGTTCGCGTATTTCGTGTTTATCATGGCAGTGACCTCGGAGATACCTGTTGATTAGCAGGAAAGAGTGAAATCAAATGGCGTGGAACATATATAGGAAAGTTTTCAAATGAAAATGTAGGATACTATTAATTTGAAATTTAACACCGTATATTATTAATATTATTTACTTTATTTATTAATATCTATTTATTATTATATAATTATTTATATAATTATATATATTTTTATATAATATTTATATAATTATTTGTGCAAGGTGTTATGTGTATATTCATATAAAAATGTATAAAGAATAATACGTCCATACAGTTTTATCTAAAGATTGTTCTTAAGTATTGTCAGTGAACTGTGAAGTTTGTACGATTATTATAGACAATTATATATTAATTACCCTGTTACAAGATTAAATTCAAATGTTCTTACTTTTATTTGTTATTATTTTATAATGTTATTACTTTATACATTAGTAATGAAAAATTAAACAATATATCGAAAAATTTTATTGTTATTATTTTATAATGTTCTCACTTTATACATTAGTAATGAAAGATTAAACAATATATCGAAAAATATCAAACAAAAATAGGAAATATAATGCAAGAGTGGATCAAAATCGGGGACGGTCTTCGTATTGAAATTTTTGGAATTAATAGATTTATGATCTATTTATATGTATAAAAATACATCCAACGATATAATCTTGAACTTCTCATTTATTTCTCTGTTTCCTTGCCTACTTGTTTCCCAGATATATTAAAAAGAGACATCTAAATAATTTATTATATATCTATATGTTGTATTCGGCAACAGTGAGACTGTCGTATAATTTGCAATGCGATTTCATTTTAAAACTCGCACGTAAAATTAGCCAACATACCATGGTGTATTTTAATAAATACATCAATTAACTGCCGACGCGATCCAGTTTCTATCTCTAATTAGTTTCATATGTATGAATTATGCATGAAATAATCACTCTCAATCACATTAATTATTCAACGAAGCGTATTATTTCAACTGAACAAAGAGACGTTGAAGAGACTTTTCATGTAATTAATCACGTTTCGCAGGTAAATAATTAAGAAATAGTTAACAAAATTGACACAGCCAGTCAATAGTTGAGAAATTGATATGTGGATTTGAGGTTTCACGTCGCTATCGTTCCTTTCGATAAATAATTGCATTTCGCTACATCCCTTTGATGTGGGAAATTGGGAAAAAGATCGAAACGAAAAAACGAGTTCCCCCGGAGCAATTTTACATTGGAAACCAGTTCGCCCGCTTCGAATCGAATATCTCGACAAGGTATTTAGCTTCCCCTACAGAACGACGCCGAGTTTTATAAAGGGAATACGTAACGAATGAAATACGTGGTCGTGAGAAATTACTGTTAACTGTAATTAAGTTCATAGAACGAGAGAAATTATTGTAGGAAGGAGAAAATTGACATGAGAAGTT